CATCATAATACAAGATTTGAATATTGACAGTGAAGGTAATATGTATGTACATGTTAATGACATCAAGATTTCATCAATAAATGTTATTACAGAGATGGTTGATGCAAATCAGAGTAATGGCTGGAATGGTTTTAAACTTGTTGGCGATAACATAGATTTCAACTTTCGCCGTACCTTTCAGAGGATAGATTATACCCCTGCATCTCACCATTTTTTTCATTCCTACGCTATTAAAGATAGAGTAGATTTAAGTGGTCTGTCAGAGCTACCTCCATCTGGTGAGATTGATGTACAAATGATCCTACCATCAAAAGAGGACATAGTACAAATCAAAAACATTTTTGTGACATTGATATCAAGGTAGGTACATGTATGTATACTAGCTTCATATAATTTTTTCATGTGTTTTAGGGTCTTAGTCACTCATGTTGAGAGATTTAAGTCAGACTCTCACTTAATAACATGGCACATTCCACACATGTATTCTGACAATATGAAGGAAAAATCAACAACAGTAAGTTTTCTATGTAACAATGTAAATATTACATTTATGATATGCCTTTCATTGAAGGTTATGTTAGGTATTCAATTATTCAATGAAAATAAACTAGATGAAATGTGCAAAATAATGGAGAAGCATCACCAATATGTACCTCAGTTGAAACAAGTGGAAAAAGTTCTATCACCAAGTGGAGATATTGATGAGGTACATAAGCTAAAGACATGGGACACACTTTTTGGGGGCGACCAATTGACTGTTGCTCGTGCTCGTGGTGCTAAAACTATCAGAAGTGGCCATGAAGAACCTGAGGAGCAACTGAAAGGATTAACACCAGTACTGGAAGATTGGCACTCAAGAATGACATTAATGAAAGTAATTCTCTACTTCTAATTTCTGAAACATGATAAATTTGCTGTTATAGGTGATATGGAAAAGGTTGTTCAAGAAGGAATCATTGAGAGACAAAGGGACACTTTCTCAACTTAAAATTCTTATAAGTCGTACATCAGTTCCATTGGATCCCGAAAAAAACATGCAAGCAGCTGAAGATTTTTTTCAACTTGTACTTGATGCTCACATTGTTGCTGCAGCTGAAAATGGATTAATGAAGGATGACAGTACACTAGAAGAAGTAGCAATGGCAATCATCGATTCTTATGTTCGTTTGGAACCCAATAATGTAACTCATGTAGATGCTATCAATACTTACGCATGTGAAGTCATAACTCTTGGTTTAATCTGGGCTAATTTTTATGATTCGATTAGAGAAGGAGATGGGCATAGAATCATGCAAATTTGGAAGTTTTTACTACTAATCTTTTCTAAAACTGGTCATAAAAACTATGCCAAAGAGGCTGCCATTCTACTAATATCTGTTAAGTTCTTGTCTTCAGAAAGATTATCTGCTCAAATTTTGACAGGACGATTTGTGAATACCAAAGGCCGAGAGGGATGTAACATGCCTTGTGACTTATATCTAGAACATTTAAATCGCCGTTTAAAGAAAGTAATAAGACACCTAGGATCAAATGTGCAGCCTTCTTCTATTGAACGGGCAGCAAAAGCTATTGGAATTGTAGATCACATATGCAAAGTATTTCGTGAGTCTCTGAGTGTCCCTTCCAATTCAGATAAACACTCAAAGCCTCCACATGGAAAGGACTTCCAGAAGGTTTTATGGCAATTGAATGAGAGTGAAATATTTGCACGTACAAGTTTAAGACATCATGAAAAAATATCACTTAGGAATTGCTTACTAGAGACAGTTGATTATGATCAAGTTACAAGCTGGCTAATTGAACGTATTATTCCTTCTATTATTTTTTGATTTAAATGTATGCATTTAAAAATTATGACTCCGTACAATAAATAAATTATGCAAACTCTTTACAACAAATATCACAGCAATTTTGACTGTCAGATGTATGTGCATCAAATAGAAACTGCTTGTACAGAAGTTGCAGGCGACAAACAGAATTGTTTGCAATATAACTTTTGACTTCATCAGTGACATGTATTCCCACTGTTTTATGTAGCAAAATGGCTTTTGATGGTAAATTATCTCTTCCTGCTCGACCAGTCTCTTGTGCATATTCTTCAATAGTTGATGGTGCACCCCAGTGATAAATTATTCGAATATTGGGACAATCAATACCCATACCAAATGCTGTAGTTGCTATGATAATACGTAACTTGCCTTTCTCATCACAGAAATTAGCCAGAATTTTTTCTTTATGAGTTGTTGTACATGCTCTGGTGTACATATTGATAGTAGCATATTTTATTAAAAAATGACAACCAGGAGGATTTGTAATATGTTGA